AATACACACACACACTCACTAACAGACACAAACATATTTAAGTTTAAATGTAACAGTAATGGTCATATTTAATCACAGCCAATCAGAACATCTTTGATATTTCCTGTTGAGCAGGGTTTAGGCCAATGAGATTTCACTATCTGTGCAGTGGGACACAGAGACACAGACATTCTTGTTTTATATGTTTTCATCATGCGGTGTGTGTCTGTGGTGCAGGTCGGCTCATTTATTATCTCGATATCGTCCTCGCTGACCGATCATCGCCGTGACGAGGAACGTCCAGGTGGCCCATCCATCACAGCTGCTCCGCGGCGTTTTCCCCGCCTTCTTCAGAGCTCCGTCTGCTTACGTCTGGGCCGACAACGTGGACAACCGCGTCACGTTTGCCATGGACATCGGTGAGTGTGTGTGTGTGTGTGTGTGAGTGAGTGTGAGTGTGTGTGTGTGTGTGTGAAATCATGCGTTTTCTCCTCTCTTGCAGTTTGGTGAACAGTGATTCATGGAACAACTCGGTTATGCTCGGCCTTTCCAAGAGCAGGTCCATGTCTGCTTCATACGCTGCCTCCTCCGCCACCAACCACATCTATAGCAAGAGCCGAAGAGGTACAGCGCTGTGTGTGTCTCTCTCTGTGTGTGTGTGTGTGTGAGTGTTGAGTGTGTGTGTGTGCAGTGTTGGGAAGGTTACTTTGGAAATGTAATAGGTTACAGATTACAAGTTACTCTATTTAAAATGTAATAAGTAGTTAAGCTATTTCAATAACTTTATTAAAGTAATGTAACTCATTTCATTCAAACATTTAAAGCAGATAGGGTTAACCTTACAGTAGTATTTAACACTGATTACTGCTGACTTTTAAAATCCTTCATCACTTGAATTAAAATTATAAAAATTTAATTTTAAAGCACAGCCACCACACAATCAGACTTAAGCACCTCTTTTTACTTTGAGATTGTTCTGAGGTTAAATACAGATTTAAAATCATAAGATATAGTTTAAAAACAGTATCATAGCTTTAGTGTTTTTAAAATCAAGATCATTGCATAGCTATGACAGGAAACACTGGCATCTAGCAATGCCTTGGGGAAAAAATCCCAATTTAATCTAAAAAAAAAAAAAGCATATAACCTACATAAACCCAAATAGGAAATAAAACAGTTATGGAATAAGGTTGCGTCCTATTCTGTGTCCTAAAGTCCTGAAACATTGGTGTCTCATATTTTAGAGCAAAATAGTCAATGCAATTTGACTGCAAAAAAAAAGAAATCAATTAAATCTTTGTGTGTGTGTGTGTGTGTGTGTGTCTGTGTGTGTGTGTGTGTGCAGGTAAAGCGCGGGGTTTCTTCACAGCGGGTGATATGGTGATCGTCGTCACCGGCTGGAGTCCTGGATCTGGACACACAAACATCATGAGGGCGGTCACTGTGCCCTGAACCACAGCCTCTGATTCGCTGGAGTCACTGAGTGACAGTCCTGTGCTAATTAACTCTGATTATGTGTGATTTCTGCTTCACTGACACCCTTCATATGTCAATCATTTCTATAGCAATAAATTAATTAAATAAGCCATGTGTGCTGTTTTAATTTTCCTGTGATGGAAACTGCTAACACACGGTTTCTCCTCTTGCTCTTCCATTGTTTTTCTCTGTAAACATGCACTAGACTGGCATTTTGTGTTCACATCTCACATCTTCTGCAGCGTCTCACATGTTACAGTGTTCTAAAAACACACAGCTCTAGTGTTTTTAAATTCAAAATGTCAACTAACCAAATTTTACTAGTAAAAAAAAAACATTCGCTTAAAAACTTGAAAACTTAAAGTTCTGCCTTCAGTTTTTAAGTATAATCAAATTGGCTGTACAAATAATTTAAACTTAAATTATATTAAACTGACTTTAAAAATCTAATTGAAACTGAACTTAAAAAACAAAGTTGAAATTGGCTAAATTAATTTGATGAGTTAAAGTAATGGAAAAACATGTTTAGTTATTATTAATCATAATCCATAATAACTCTTCCTCCAGTGAAAAAGTGTTCTGGTGTGAATCAGGAGAGAAATCTGCACAGATCAAGCAGCGTTTAAACAGCTCTGAACTAATATGTGGCTGGATTCTGATGAAAGAGACAACAGGAGATGCTCTTTTTCACTGGAGGAAGAGTTATTATGGATTATGATCAGGTGTGTAAGAGTTAGTTCATCTGATGAAAGTCAAATGCAGTCAGATTTATTTGTACAGCGCTTTCCACAGTGTTTCAAAGCAACTTAACACACAATCACGATGTTAATGTGTATAATGTCCTAATATCTTCATGCCTTATAGTTGCATTTATCAGATTAGAGCTGGACGATACTATAGTTAAATTTTTTCATAGACTTATATATCCTGATATAGAATGTGACTGTGAAAATGAACTTCATAAATGTTCCAGCTCTAGATGTGATTGTGTATAAACCTCTGATGAATTCATCATGCGTGTTTGAGCTTTTGAATATTTGATTATTTATGAAAAGCTCTTTCTAAGAGTGAGATCATTTATTGATATCCAGATCGGATGTGAATATGAGGCCGTGTTGTTTGTGTATCTGGCTCTCATTATGATTGTAAATTTCTTAATTGGCTTTAGCTGTTCAGTGTCAGCGAAACAGACATCAGTGTCTATAACAGCTCTCTCTCTCTCTCTCTCTCTCTCCCTCTCTCTCTCTGTCTCCCTCTCTCTCTATCTCTCCCTCTCCCTCTCTCTGTCTCTGTCTCTCTCTCTCTCTCTCTCTCTCTCTCTCTCCCCCTCTCCTCCCGCCTCCGTGTGAGCACGCGGGTGACAGGGATGATGCTGATGCTGATGCTGCTGCTGCCATGGCGACAGACCTTCACGCGCTCACACATTGATTTTATATTTATTTAATACCACGTTGGTCCTTCCGTCACGCGGGATCCGGGATCCGACGCTGCGAGCGCGTGAAGCTCAACAAGTGACAGGGATAAACGCCTGATTATTGCGCGTTTCAGAAAGAATCACTCAGCTGCGGCGCGTTTCTCATCCGATTCTCCTGTTGCGCATCAGATGATGATGATGATGCGCCTTCACGCGTCTGACTGACCCGTGTGTGTGTGTGTGTGTGTGTGTGTGTGTGTGAGTGATCGTTCTTGTGTGTGTGAGTGATCGTTCTTGTATAAGCGCGTCTGTTGAACGCGATACATCACCGTGACAACCAGAGGCGGGAATCACGGAGATGCTGACCGGTGTCGGTGCGCGTCGGAGCGCCTGGGCCTCAAGGACATTGAGAAATGAGGAGAAATGACGGACGGCGCCTGAAGACGAGCGCGTCAAGGACGAACGGAGCGTCAATTCAAGGGCGTTCGAACGCGATGAGGAGCCGTCGGAGGGCGGCGCGGCGCGGCGGGGCGAGGCGTCCTCCGGAGGAAGCGTAAAAGAGAATCCGTCGCGCTGAGGTCAAACCGACTCTGAGCTCGTTCTGACCGATCAGAGAGTGAACAGACTGGTGTTTGTCTGACAGAAGAGCAACAACAGGTCAGTGTGTGTGTGTGTGTGTGTGTGTGTGTGTGAGAGAGAGACAGAGAGAGAGAGAGAGAGAGAGTGTGTGTGTGCGCGCGCGCGCGCTGGCATGGATGGTGGCACCGGGGCTTCCGCGCGGAACGGAGACTCTAAGCGGCGCAGTAAGAGCAGCCTGCCGTCTCCCGGTTACCGTCTCCGCCGGACCCGAGACCACCACCACCACCACGGCGGCCGGGACACCGGAGACCGGACCGGGGCTAGACGGCGAGGATTACAGCTATTCAAACCAGTCCACCTTCATCCAGAGGCAGTTCGGAGCCATGCTGCAGCCCGGCGTCAACAAGTTCTCGCTCCGCATGTTGGGCAGCCACAAGGCCGTGGCTCTGGAGCAGGAGAGACTCAGATCAGCTGGAGCCTGGATCATACACCCCTACAGCGACTTCAGGTACACACACACACTCACACACACACTCACACACACACACTCACACACACTGTCTGTTTGCACCTGTGATTCACATGTGTCAGTCACTAGTTCAGTCAGATTACTGGACTGGTCAAAATTTGGAGTCAAAAGTTTGAAGTTTGGAGAGATTTGGTTATTTTTCAGGATTCACAGATGAACAGAAAGTTCAAAAGAACAGCATTTATTTGAAATAGAAATCTTTTGTAAGTTATACATTATATTTATATTATAAATTATAGAAATTATTATAAAAGTTACTGTCACTTTTGATCAATTTAATGCATCCTTGATGAATAAAAGTATAAAAAATTATAGTGACCCCAAACTTTCACTCACTGTCAGCAAAATGTTTCTCCCAAATGTTAATCTGAGCTGAGAATTACTCGCTCTTATTTCAGTGAAGCTGAGATGCACTTGTTGTTGATGTCAGACATATTTTCTCAAATGATGAATATTCTGTTATTTTTAAGCTGCATGTAAGCGGTTTTAGTGCAGCGGGTGATTGACAGGTGAGCAGGTGTGTGTCCAGTGATGCTTCTGACTGACTCTGAGTGTGTTTCAGTGATCAGATCAGTGTTTTGTACGTGATTCACACCTGTCTGTCTCTGAACAGATGTTAATACCAGCTGGAAACAGATGGAGAGACAGAGAGCAGACTAAATTAATCAGACAGTCAGATATTCAGGCTTATACTTGAGATTAGATGTAGTGTGTTGATTTACAGGCTGAAGCTGCTGATCTTTTCTTTGATTTGGACCCAAACTGTATGGACCCCTGCTGCCTGGCCCTTCTGTAATCCAGTCAAACCTGCCACTCTAAATAAAGCTGCAGTTTCCCGCTGGAGAATTCACACAGACACACACTGAGCACTGGCTCTCAGACAACAGATAACATACACTGGATCCCGGGGGTCGCTAAGGCATTGGTTGGTGGTTGCTAAGGTGTTGCTAGGTGGTTGCTAGGGAGGTCACACACGTGTGCTGCAGGTGTGATTAATGTTGCGTGATCTGGCAGACAGACAGCAGAGCGACATCTGAATATGCATATGAGCACAATTAGTCTGTCTGCTGTCAGAAATGAGCATGGATCAAATATTCATAATGTGATGCATAATTCATCCAATGTATGCATAATGCATAATTCAATCAGCTACCATTTCAATTACGTTAAACTGGAACTATGAATAACTAAATGAGGCAGAAAAAGTCAGTCAGACGGTTCAAACTCGTCTGCTGGAGATTATGAGCAGATTATTACTGATCACTGATTGAACGCACACACCTGATGTGTGTGCATGCGTGTGTGAGTGTGAGTGCATAGGAGTGTGTGTGTGTGTG